AAAGCCTCACATGTACCTGAAATGAAAGAGTGTTTTAAAGCCTCACATGTACCTGAAATGAAAGAGTGTTTTAAAGCCTCACATGTACCTGAAATGAAATGAAACGGTGACTTAGCCTCACATGTACCTGAAATGAAACCTCACATGTACCTGAAATGAAAGAGTGTTTTAAAGCCTCACATGTACCTGAAATGAAATGAAACGGTGACTTAGCCTCACATGTACCTGAAATGAAACCTCACATGTACCTGAAAAGAAACGGTAAGAGACCAACAGGTCCTGACAGGAGAGCGCAGTGTTTTCCCCACACTTGTCACACATTATTTCTCTCCCAGAAAGCATCAAGCTTAATCCATCACTTCAGACAAAAAGAGAGAGGTGGGCGGGGCCAAAAGCCTCACTGCCCATGTGACCAGAGCGGCTTTTATGAAGGCCTCTACAGTCGAGCTTGTCTTTCAGCTCTTACCTCTTTGCTCACTGACTATCCCGCCTGTCCTTCTGAGAGAGATCTCCTCAGTGTAGGTCCACACACATTTGAAATCCACACAGCAACAGCAAACATCTGTCTATTCCTTCTCAGGCAAAATGAGGAGGACACAGAACGAGCATCTGTTAATGAGGGTCCATCAATCACCATTCATGCCTTCCTGGTGCTATGGGATCTCGCCCCGATTGGCTCTGCTTAGAGGGAGAGCACAGGTTCCCATCCCAGCATGGAGCTGCTGTTGTCTTTGAGCTCACATCCTTAACCTCAATGTCATTTGTCGGTGGCCAGCATTACATAGAGCATAGACTCGTGAGCTTTACAAATCACTGTATAATAAAACGCTTCTCTTTACATACTGCCCCCCAGTGGTGGCTGGTGGATGCGCAGTTAAACACATATATCGACACTGATAGTCACAGGTCTGAAAAACTTGGGTAAGAAAGCTTAGCCTTGACCGGGATCCATGGGAATCCTACAGCTGGGGGTGATGCGAGGGGCAGCCAGCAAACAAACACGCTGGCCTAACTTCCCGTGGGGATTTCCAGAAGGGTTACACCTACTACTGGCAGGAAACGTTACAGAAGCTTCTGGAACGGTAGCGAGAGCTAACAGTGAGATTCCAGCTTGTTAAAGGTCTAGATGGACCACAGCAGCTTCAAGCCTCAGACCAAATCAAGCAGCAGATGAAGTTGAACTTTCAAGGTGAAATTGCACCTGTGGACAACCTGGTCCAGAAGATTCCATCTGCGGGTCACAGGAAAACGCACCTTCTGGACACTAGAGAAGCTGTACTCACCATCCACTCTACTAAGTGCTGGGGGCGGGAGACACAGGCTTTGATGGCTGGTAAGGATAGATCCATGAAAACTGTCTAATGATGTCTGACGTGCTTTGTGGGAAACTATTTGTGCTGATCGCCCCCTTGTGGTCAGTCCCAGTGGCGCTGCTGGCTGGAGGCCTGGTAGCAGGAGTGTTTCTCCTGCTCCTCCTGGGAGTCGCAGCTTACATCCTGTGGAGGAGACGGCGAGTGCAGGGGTGCCACCGAGAGCTCCTCGCTCCGGGGTCGGACACCTCAGGACACACCACTCCTGTAAGGCTGGGCATGCGGTGAGTATTGGGCTGCGTTTGTGTGTCCTGTCATTTTAGGATCGGACCACAGATTCCCTCACTTCCCTCCCCGCTTGGCACATTCATGACACTTTTTGACCTGTAAATCAATGGTTACAAATCTCTAGGTTAAAAGCCATGAAGGTAGAAGTAGCCACTGTGTGACTAAACATTCTGATTGGTCTCTCCAGCCGGCTGGGGGACATCCCCTTCCAGGTGCTGCGCAGCGTTAAAGGATGCACTCATTCTGGCACGGGGGGGCAGGACGGGGGTGAGGAGGCGGAGAGAGGCTGGTCAGGTACCCTCAGTCAGCACGGATTCTTTGCCATGGGGGGTAGGTGCCAGGGGGGCGTGTGTGGATCAGTGGGTTAAGCCTGTGTGCCTGTAATCAGAAGGTCGCCAGTTCAAACCCAGCCTCAGCACATCTGCGGGTCCTTGAGCAAGGCCCTTAACCTCCAGCTCCCTGGGCACCCCAACAGTTGGCTGCCCTTCACAGACCGCTTACTCTACAAGGAGCAAGTTGAGGGAGACGTAAAAAGACAATCAATTATTCAATTTATGGGTGGGAGAGGCACAGTTGTGGGCTGGCATTTGCACATTCATGATTGTCTGGATTCATCTGGCTGCTCCAGGATCCTCCCGCCGTCTAAGAACATGCGGACTGTGCTGGGTATGTGCTTACAGGAGATGATGGACGGCTTTATTGTTTGCTGTGATGTTGATGTTTGTGAATTTCCTGCTTTATCCTCCCCTGCCCCTCATTCTCACTCACCTCCTTCCTGTTGCTCCACAGCCTCCTTCCCTTTGGGGAGACTGCAGCCGCACCTGTACCAGGTGCCAGCGGAGCCCAGCGAAGGGCCGCCCCCTGCTGGTGGGTCGGTGCAGCTGTGTTTCAGCGTTGCGTACCGACCCGATGCGGAGCAGCTCCTGGTGTCCGTGCTCCGCGCTGCCAATCTGCCGCCCCGCTGCCAGTCCGGCGGCACGCTGCTCAAGCTGCAGCTGTTGCCTGAAGGTCGACGCCGGCACCAGGCCAAGGCCCGGCAGAGGGGCTGCGACCCCACCTTCAGAGACAGCTTTGTCTTCCAGGCGAGTCCTCATTCTGTGGAAGCTGGGCCCAACTGGGACTTTACAGCCATGACACCTCAGTGGGGGGGGGGGCATTCAATCCTGAGAGCAGCATCTGCTGGGCAGACAGTCCCCTGCAGCAACACCTGTACCCAGTCCCCAAGGACCGGGTTGACAAACACTGTCCTATAGCATGAAATTGCCACCTGCAGCAGTTCTCACTGTGGCAGAAAAGTAACCAGTTAACTGTGATAAACTGCTAGTTTTAGAGCAGCCTTCATCGACATACAGCCAATGAAATTGTCTGCCCAGAGACCACTGGAGACCTTTCTTTGTCTCCGTCTAGTGGTAAAAACAGACAATGACCATATAGTTACCCACGTAACATTTTGGCAACATTCACTAGTATTTTTATAAAGAGTAAATGAAAGTGCATGTCATTCAGATTGTCATAATATTAAATATGAGTGGTCCAGAATGGTTTGGTCAAAAGGCTCACACAGCTAGAATGTGGTAGGTAGATAGGGTTAGAGTATGGTAGATAGATAGGGTTAGAGTATGGCAGGCATGTAGGGTTAGAGTATGGTAGATAGACAGGGTTAGAGTATGGTAGGTAGATAGGGTTAGAGTATGGCAGGCATGTAAGGTTAGAGTGTGGTAGATAGATAGGGTTAGAGTATGGTAGATAGATAGGGTTAGAGTATGGTAGGTAAATAGCCTACCATAGCCTAAATAGCCTACCTAGGCTAGGTAACCACCTAGGTAAATAGCCGACCATGGCTATGGTAAATAGCCATTTGCACCTTGTCTCTGCAGGTGTCAAGCGAGCGCCTGGACCAGTGCACGCTGTGCCTGTCCCTCTTCAGTGTGGACGGCCTGAAGAAGCACCATCTGGAGGGCAGGGTCCTGTACCCCCTGAAAGAGTGGGCTCTGCGAGACCACACAGGCCGGGCGCTGTGGAGGGATGTGGAGACTGACAACGATCAGGTACAGCCAGCGGTCAGCAGAGGGCGACATCGGCCCTGGAGTGGTACATGATGGGCTGATAGACAGGCTGTGATGCCCTCCCCCCTCACTGCCCTCGCACAGCCCTGCTCCGAACACGGTGACATTCAGGTGTCCCTGAACTACAGCCCGCCCCTGCAGCGGCTGACGGTGATGGTGCTGAGAGCGCGGGGACTGCGCGGGTTCCACGGCGATCCAGGTGGGTAACCAGGCTCCAAGGGAAGCGGAGACGGATCAAGGAGTTTCTAGGGTTTATGTTACTGAATGATTGGAGTTTTTCACAGATCCACCTCTGCTCGACAACCAGAAACTCAGTAAGTGCTGGGCCCAGGGTACCCTACAGTTCCGGTACTGATCCGGGCCCCGTGTGCTCTGGTACTGATCCGGGCCCCGTGTGCTCTGGTACTGATCCGGGCCCATGTGCTCTGGTACTGATCCGG